TGTCTCCAAAATACAAGGAATAGGATTCAGGATCTCAGAATCTGTACCGAGTAAATCAAAAGACACAAATTCATAAATAGGAGTTTGTTAAGAACTCAGGATTAAGATCATCCTATTTATGACCATCAGTAGACTCAATTAGAATTTCTATACTTAACAGAATTATTAGAAATTCATATTGTGTCTGTGTCCTTGTTCCACATAATCTCATTATTCGAAATACACTCATTCAATATCTCGCCATATTAACAGTGCGGATAACACCGTTTCATTCTAAATGGGAATGACATGTATTAATAATGTTTTAATTAAAGATTCTAAACTTTAATTAAATTCATTATGAACATTGCTTTTTGATTATTATCCTTAAACATTATCCTCTCGTATATAACACTTATATACAATGTTTAAGGTTATATAAATAATCATGGAATTTTTATTGATATTCATAAAATATTCATAAATATATGCACATAAAATAATGAATAAACTCCTTTATTAAATAAATAATAAATATCTTATTACATCTCATGCTTCTAGGACATCATTCTCAACAGAAATAACTTAAAATTCATAACACACTAAATTACAATAACATCCATTTAAATTAAGCAAATAATAGTATAAGATTTTGAGTATAACTATCATGATATCACAAATTCATAATAAAATTTAAAATATGAAATGAAAAATATATGTATTTTTTAGTTTTTTACGAGTTTCGTGTCGTGTTCGGATTAGGCGGGTCCAACCCCGTGTTTTTCGTGTCAATTTCAGGTCGACCCAATTCTAACCCGAACCTCTTTTTTCTCAACCTCAACCCGCAAAATTCGTGTCGTTTTCGAGTCGTGTCGTTGTATCGTGACCTATATTGCCGACCCTACTTATACATGCTATATTGTTCTAACATTTGTGCTTTTATTTGATCATCTACACCATCAGAATTGGCATGATAGATAAGGTAGTCTTTACAGTGGAGCATATTTTGATCCGCCGGCGGGGCGAGTGTGTTTACAGTTGGATAAATTTTTTAATAGTTAGATTTACAGTATAAGTAATTTTGTATAACGCGCTGTAAATTTTTAATACAGACGTGTACAAATATAACCGTTAAAAAACTAATTCAACGGTTAAAAATACTTACCTCATTTGTAGAGCAAAATTAATTGGTCTACCATAAATATTCCCGATAGATAAATAATCAGAGTTTCACTTCTCCCCTATGCCTTGTTTACCAGTTTTTTTTGTTTCAAAATTATTGATTTCCGCCTACAAATATAGACTAGAATGAAAATGGGATATTGGGGGGGAAAAACATTCATATTTTAAACGGCCCTGTCAGAAGCAGAAAATTATGTTGAGTTGTGACAGACGCAAAATTGACTGAGTGTGGACCATATACAGCTCTTCCTGCGGGGAAGCAAACTTGGAACAGTTGAACTCAAGTCAGAACAAGAGTACTACATGCCCTGCCCATAAATAAACATAAATATATTAGTAAACGTACAAAAGAGATTTTGTTGGATGCGAAATTAGATAGCTTTGCTTTGGTGAAAAATCTCTACCACGGTTTATTGCTATTATATTGGGCCCCATACGTAGATACGGCATTAAGGTGATCCATGTTAGCGGTCAGGACGTTTGTTTGTCGCCTCTTGCTGCAGTTTTTAGGCGATGTTCCCTCAACTTCTCCACTTAACATATATGGTCAATGCGTACAACATTTTGTAGTGTAATGGATACGTAAATCACTACACTAGACGAAAGAGTAAAGCATTAAATATAGGTAATATAAAACCACATACTAAAAGCGGCAATATCTTAGCCAAGAAACAAAAAAGAACAAAATTATATTCATTTGTCTTGGACATTAAGGTTGGTAATACTAAATAATGAATAAATTCATCAAACAAATGTAAATAAGAGAAAATGAATCCTTGAATAGTGACAAATAGAGTCAAAACCCAAAAAAAAAAAAAAAGTTTAAAACTGTTTTTAATTGATGCTTCTTAATCACAATATCTATAAATATTGTAATATTGTTGTAATATAATGTGGAAACGCATAGCCTATAAAATATGTGTTCCTATCACACATCACAAGTTGATTGCTTGATCTTTAAACAAAATAAATAATCAATTAAAGCAATAAAGAATACTAAAAAGTATGAAGAATAGCTAACACACTCATCTCTACTCACAAGAAAAGTAAAGTTCTTTGTGCTTCTTCCAATTCTAGTTACAGCCATTACTTTTCTACTTTTTTTCTCCTTCTTCTTCTTCTTCTTCTCCTTCTTTCTCTCTCTAAATTCTTCAGCTTTCTCTCTCCATTCAAATTATGGATCGGATCCTCGTCGCAGCCTTTCTTCTCACTCTCCTCACTCTCCCGTTCTTCTTATCAGGTATTCTTCGTGACTATCCCAAATTCTCCACAACCCAATTCTCTCTTTCTTTTATCTTTCTTGTTTATCAATTTTTATTTTTTTTTTGCTTTGGTTATTGCAGAAGTAGAGTCAACGTCGTTCAAGATAGTCAACAAGTGCCGGAGAACAATATGGCCCGGCTTCCTATCCGGAGCCAACTCGCCTCAGCTCCCGACCACCGGCTTCGCCCTCCGGATCGGCGAATCCCGGAGCTTCCACGTGCCACCCCACTGGTCGGGCCGCTTCTGGGCCCGCACACACTGCGGCCGCGACTCGACCGGCAGGTTCACGTGCCTCACGGGAGACTGCGGCTCGGGAAAAGTCGAGTGCCAGGGAACCGGCGCGAAGCCGCCGGCCACGCTAGCTGAGTTCACGCTCAACGGCGCCGACGGCTTGGACTTCTATGACGTCAGCCTCGTAGACGGTTACAACCTCCCGATGCTGATCATCCCCCGGGGGGGCACGAGGGGCGGCTGCGGCGCCACGGGGTGTTTGGTCGACTTGAACGGCGCGTGTCCGGCGTCTTTAAGGGTGGCGCGTGGGAACGGTGGGAGGAGCGTGGCGTGCAGGAGCGCGTGTGAGGCGTTTGGCGATCCTATGTATTGCTGCAGCGAGCAATATTCTACGCCTGACAAGTGTGGGCCGTCTGTGTATTCTCTGTACTTCAAGCACGCTTGCCCACGCTCCTATAGCTACGCGTACGATGACAAAACCAGCACTTACACGTGCGCCACCGCCGATTATACTATTATTTTTTGCCCATTGCCTTACACCAGGTAAATTTACCAATTCGCCCCTCACTGTCTGTTTATATCTGAGGGTGATTTCGTAAAATTCATATATATTTTTTGCTAATTGTAAAATTTATATATATTTATTTGCTTTTTACGTGCCGGGCCTGGGAATGTGATTAACTTTTCTTGTGGGGTCGTCTCTCTATAATTTGCTACTTTCTTTCGTGCGGCTACGCCGGGACCTTAAATATGGAAATTGCGTTTCTGACCACATATTATGCTTTACAGTTTACACAAACCTAAATATCACAAGTGGTGTTGTGTTGATCACTAGTTTTTTTTTTTTTTGGGGCAAATTCTCGATTGATCTATTAAACTATTATATTATTGATACCTATAATGAGCTTGATGTAACCAGTCGTACCATTTAAGCCGGTAGTTCAGTTTCTTCATAATCGCGCCTCTTTGGCTGCTGAACAAGAAAGAAACGTATGTAGAGGATTAGATATGGTCCTAATTTCATGTGTGTGTTATTGTGGTGCAATGATTTGTTTTGAACTAAATTTGCATATCCATGTGCAATAAACGACAATGTTAATCCTTTATTTCTTTGCTTGTTGCCCTCTTTCATGTTGTGCAGTTTCTTCTTTCCTTCTTTTCATGACTTCAGAACCGTAACTTGATTTTCTATGTTAAAAAAAAAAAATGTGCAGTCAAAAAGTGCTGGGAGCGAGAAAAGATGGGGTGCAGCTGCCACTGGTTAATAAGACCATGTTGTACCTGCATAGCCGACAATAAGCAAAATGGTGTTTCATCTGCCTCAAATGCTGTATTTATCGCCATTTGCTGCCTCTAATGTTAGTGGAAGCTCAAAGTTGTGCTATTTTGGCCGCTTTTAGAGCCTCTATGCCTTGTTCTTATATCCATTCTGGCCTCCGGTGTTTAGTCGGCGGATCGATTGGTTTTGAGTAATGCAGTGACTGATCAGCCACATCTACGGGAGTTCATCATAATTGCCCGCGAGAAATTTTGTATATAGTTTTTCTGTTTCCATGTTTTGTTCCGATATACATAGGAGTCAAAATATATAAATTTGCATGAACTTTACCTCAAAAGTTGCCGTTACAAGGCTCGGGTTTAGTTTTTGTAATACGTCACTTGGATTTCCTTTTTCAATAATCCATTATGTCTCTTTGTTATCTTTTCATGTCTGTAGGGCATTTTAGATTACCTAATCAATTCGATCAGGCACTCGTTATCTATTTTCGTTTTCAACTCTTTGACAACACAAAAGAACTATTGTTCAAATTCCTGAATATTGTTGGATATTTCCATCCTTCTAAATACAATAAATATTCATTCATTCTTCTTGAATGAATTTTCAATATGACAAAACGAGACTGCAATTTTTTAAAGCGTGAATTAGTATTGTATTCAGAAGCAATCGTATATTGTGTGCAGAAATGCATTATGAAAGTGTATTATCTCTATAAATCATGAATCGCATTGCCAATTACTAAGATGGAAACTAAACCAATGTTCGCAAAACTCAAACGGGCAATGAATTACATATTTAAACAATTGGACGTCAGTGAAACAATCACGAGGACTATCAGTAATTACATAGTGAGAACTACAAAAGGGATCCAACCACATCTGCCCTATGGGTTTGTCTCCCTTTGAGTTAGAATAGACCACAACATTATTTTTTTTCCTTTACAATGTTTTTCAAAGCTTTTTTCCTACCTCATCACAATTTAGGTCCCGTTTACTTCACCGATTCGAGTTTTGCTACAGTAAAAAGCTTTACAAAACGGTCACATTTAACTTTTTAGCTATAGTAAAAAGCTCACATAAAGTCACATCTCAACTTAAATTAAAAACTCGAATCAGCGAACTAAACGGACTATTAGTGAATAAGCAGTGATGTACTCTTTTGAGTGTTTTTGGCTCGAGAGAAAGGCCAATCTAAGTTGGAAGACAAAGAGGAGGGAGGAGAGAGGAGGAAAAGGAGAGTCTCCCTCCGTGCTATTATACCCTATGAAAAGTATTAATAAATGATAAACAGACAATAGAGTAATAGATAAACAACTAATATCCACCATTTCAATCATTCTCCTTCCAACTAAATAACATGAAAAATAAGTATAATAGTCTCCAACCATCCCCCAAATTCTCCACCTCTCCAATCAAATAAGCCTTTAAGCACTTAATTGGTATCCTTATTGGGCCGTGGCCCCAACAAAGGTAGAGTAACAATGGACCAATGGCTGATAGGGTCTTTGGACTTTGGTTTCCTCACATAAACTTATTTCTCAACTCTAATTAAAAATTTAAATTAGTTGAATGAAAGAAACTTTACATCACTAATCATAAACAGGACTAAGAGGAAAAAAAAAACAGTTATTTCAGGAAAAACACAACTACGAAGCTAGTGTTAGCGTTTTTCTTTTTTTTTTGTTTTTTGTTTTTTGTTTTTTTTGGATGGCACTAGTGTTAGCATTTTACTAACGGTTTTTTTTTTTTTTTTTGTAGTGTTAGCGTTTTACTAACAATACTAATATCTATAATGTGTTGATCAATTATCTCTTGTTTGATGGTTTTGTACGCAGACAAAAAATTGATAAACTATTATTCCAAGGAAATACAAATACCAATCATTTGCCTGCCCAATACCAACTTTATATCAGCAACATGCTTTCCCGTGACACAAACTTATTACTCCCAACGCGGGTATCACTACAGTCAAATTGACGAGTGGTCCAAAGTAGTATTGTTTAAAAAGGGCTATGTTTTGTCCTTCTCGTCATATTTTAGCTGTCTCTTGGACAAATCCTTTCTATATTAGTAACCTTATTATAGTGGATTATTTGCCTTTTGTATTGAGGTTTGTAATGGTCGTTCCCCCTATCCTTCTTGACCGGAAAAACTAATTCTCTAAGGTCTGTGTAAGTACTAAGTTCAATGCATAAATCCAATCATATTTATTTTCAATTGTGCGAAAACTATAGTGATAACACTTGAAACTGGAATCACCAGTAAACAGCTAGCACGTATAATCTTACTCGTGAAGGGTGGCACCTCTTACTGCATGCTTCATCAATTAATGAAAAAAATAGGATAATTTATACAAATGTGCTCCGACATTTTTAATAAGTGACAGTTTAATCTTTAATTTTTTTTTTTGTAAATCGATCCAATCTCTTTAAACGGGTGCAATTTAGTCATTTTTGTCAAATTTTTAACAGATTCCCACATGTGAGCATCACGTGTCTTCACACCCATGGCCTTCTTCTTCCTCCTCTCCACCTCCGGCGAGCCCCATCCCTGATGATCTGACCTCCAATTGGTGATTTTTTTTCCCTGATGCTCCTTTTGAGCAAATGCAGCCCATGATTCTCACCAATAATGAGTGATTAATCGTGCATTTTTCTTGGGAAACCAAGAGTTTCCCGCGACTTCTCAATTTGGGTAGTCCTCAGAATCATCAATGACGAGTTTCAACAACAGAGAAGAAAAGAAAAAAAAATATCAGGAACTTCATTACATGTTAAGAGGCCTGTCTCTCCAACAATGAGCAATTAAATTGCAATTCCCCATTTTGGCACATGCCCATATTTTCAGTCACTTCAAAAGGAAGATATACATATCTTAAGGGTCGTATTTTACTTCAACGACTGTATTCAAAGATAAGCACATAGAATAAGTTTACCCATGAGAGAAGCTTCGAGCAAGTGCTTGGCCATGAGAACCCGATTGAGGCAAGGGGCCGCCTCTGCAAATCACAAACCCAGGAAGAGGGAGAAAGAGTTATTTTTAGTTTTCAATTTATTTATTAAAAATAAAGAAAACTTGTGATTTTATGAAAATAACTCTCGTAAAAGGGTCACATGATGAGTTACGTGACAAGTTCTCTTAAAAATTTGATGAAATTTAACAGAAATAATTAAATTATACCCATTTAAAGAGATTAGGAGTTATTTTATCAAAAAAAAAAATTAGAAATTAAACTATCACCTATTAAAAAAGTTGAGGAGTATTTATGTAAATTACCCAAAAACATAATATTTATGATGATTACGATTTACAGATAGGTTTTCAACCAATCAAAGCGCAACACATAATACTCGTTAAGTCGTGTAGCATACTTACGGGTTGTTCTTTTGTAACAAAACTCGAAAAAAATTTAAATTCAAGTTACAATTTTATTTAAGTTCACGTTCTTTTAAGTTCTAATTTTATTCAACTTTATTCAAGTTACAACTTCAACTCAAGTTATAACTCAAAAACTACACTCAAGTTACACTCTAATGGCCCGTTCACTTCGTTGATTCGAGTTGAGATGTGATTTTATGTGAGAGCTTTTTACTATAGCAAAAAAGTTAGATATGACTGTTTCTGAGAGTTTTTTACTGTAGCAAAACTCAAATTTTAAATTCGAATCGGTGAAATAAACGGGCCTAAAAGAACAACCCCTTATTGTCTTGAAAATTATTGTCTTATGCTATTTGTTCTAGCTCTTATATAGAGGAGGTATTGATTTTATAATTAATTAGAGAGGCCAGAAAAAGCCTATTGAGACAATGCTTTTTTTTTCTTGTAAACTGTTTGTTCATCATTGTCAATTACTGCAACCATTAGAAGTAAACGTAACTTTCACATTAAGCATAAACTACTATAATCTTATTTATCGACATGAATTCATATGGCCCATAATAAATCTTGCAATTAGCATATAAATGGTAACTAGTTCAAAAAAGAAAAGTGCGGTGACCATCATCCTTGATGATACGTAGCATTACTCCTTTTATATAACAGTTTGATTTTATTTACGTAGCTATAACTTTTAGTGGAAAGTTATTTTCGATCAAATACAGATGTCAAATGGGTCACTTTTCACAACGTTTAAAAATAAAGCGAGCACACTTTAGGTTCTTGCTATGAGATTATTACTTTCGTTTTTTCTAAAATAGGCAACAATAATTCAATGTGAGGTTAACTTTAATGGTCTATGCAATCGTGTGGTTTTTGGACCCACACAAAATCATTATTTTACAAAATGAAATATAAAGAGCGAACCTACATGAATGCTAATTATTTTACTAGCGTTTGGTTCATGGATTCAAACCATGTGATTAGAATTATTTTCGATTTACGTGTATTTTTTATGAGAAAAAATACTGTAGCGAACCATAAATCATGAACCATGATTTGAATTATAGAACGAATCTAAGTACCAAACGGATTTAATATTTTGATATGACCCAAATAATTTGGCGCGAACAAGTTCTATTATGCTTTGTATAACATTCATCATTTTTCTTCGTAAAGCTGAAAAGGTGAAATCAATGGGAATGTAATGCTTGAGATATATTGAATACAGAGGTGTTTGTTTATTGTATTTGTCTCTGATTCTAAATTATGATTTATAATTTTTTACAGTATTTTTCTCTCAAAAAAACACACGTAAAATGAGAATGATTCTGAATCTATGAATCAAACGTCCACTATATATTTTCTTGTGTTTGTATATCTTGTGGTAAAATTTATCATCAATTATTTGTAAATATACTACTTTTGGACCAATAAGTAAACTACATTTTTGTTCTCTAACAAGATTTCTTGTTGGATTAATGTATGTATTTATTCGCTTCTGTTAAATGTTAAAACTTTATGAGACTTAAAATACGAGTAATGCTTAGACATTACACCAGTAATTACAACATTTCGTCCGCTACTTTAACAGTCTTTTCGTATAGTGGGAACAAGAGAGGGGAAAGAAATTAGAGAAAGGATTGTGAAGAGAAAAATAGACTCTTAGATTCTGTTCATTTTACTGATTTGAGTTTAAAATTTGAGTTTTATTACAGTAAAAAACTCTCAAAAACAGTCACATCTAATTTTTTTGTTACAGTAAAAAGCTCTCACATAAAGTCACATCTCAACTCAAATTAAAAATTCGAATCAACGAACTAAACGGATCCTTAAATTATTTGGTAGAGAGGAATTAAGCAAGATGAAAATCTACAGAGTTCATCAATTTTTAATTCTTCTAATTTTAGAAAGGAAAGATGATGGAAAAAAATTTATCAAACAAATAAAGTGTAAAATAACTACTCTAACCTTAATCATTTATTATGTTTCTATTTGTATCGGCATGTTATTGTAAAAAGTACTATATTTGATTTTTTTTTAACTTTTTTTTATCTTCTATCAAGCAATATGAGCGAAAATTCTCATTCTA